AAAAAAAAAAAAAAAAAAAAAGGCGATTGTGATACCGACTAACCTCATTTGAGGAAGCTGTTGCAACCTTAAAATGTTTGTATTTGTAAAGTTATAAGTTCATGATAAATCAAAACACACACCTGAATAAATCAATTAATCATCAACCTAGTAACGAAGACTAAAAGAATACAATTCTAGTTGAACAAAACACTTCATTCTTGGATTCGAACTCGAGATGCACAGTTTGTATAAAGCGATACGTCATTTTGGAAGCTGAAGATGGTTTCGAGTTTTCATGTACCTTCAACACAAGCTCATCAAAGCATTGCTCCATATTGACCCGAGTTTTTGTACTGCATTCGAGAAATAAACATCCATATTCCCGAGCAAAATTGAAAGTTGAAGGATTTCTAGATGCAAAATTGAAAGTTCAGTCCTTTACTGACACTTTGAAACTTAAGATTTAGCCTCTTTCTTATATTCTTTGGGAGAACTTTCCTCCATTACAAAACAAAAAAACAAGCATCATATGGAGTGCAAGCGAGGACGTTGGGCCCCGAAAGAAGTGGATTGTGAGATTCCACGTCGGTTGGAGGAGGAAAACAAAACATTATTTATAAGGGTGTGGGGCAGACACGTTCTAAAAATCTTGAGGGAAAGCTCGAAAGGGAAAATCCAAAGAGGACAACTTCTGCTAGTGGTGGGCTTAATTATCAAACTTATCACAAAATAACATTGCCAAATAGACCACAATAATACGAGGTAGCCACTTATGTAATAAGTGTTTGAATTTCAATTCAAGTAAAGGTATGGAATATGTGCTTACCTGACGTAAATCAGTCTAACGTGCTAGTAGCATAGACTGAATGATAGACTATGGAAAATGTAAACAACAAGCTAAGTACAACCTAATCCTACATTATGAATCGAGGGGTTTAGTTATACACCCTAGTGCAGGAGCGTATAGTGTCTAGGTACGGATAGGCTTATAAGACTAGCATGGACGGTAAGCCATGGAAGACCTAAAGCTAGAGTTAGTGTATGAGCACATATCTTAAAGAATCATTACAAAGACGATGTTCGACGAGAGCCTACAGGTTAGACTGCCTGTACCGATCACAATTGAGGGTGTGAATGTGCATAGCTGTGCAGCTGCTAAGGTGCACTTAGATCAAGTCGTCTTCCTCTTTTTAATATTTTAAAATGCCGTTTTGGTGTATTTTGAGTAAATTGTTTGAACTAACTCCAGAGACAATGTCAGTTTTAATTTATATTTAAATCTTAAAGATGCGATGAGATGAGAGCTTACAAGTAGATTGCTTAATGAGTATATTTATATACTCGCCCATTTTCTCTTTCTTTTTCAAGTGTTCGTAAGCTACTAATCGAGGTGGAGGAGCGTTCGAGAGCTATCTAGTCACAAAAGAGGGTCATTCAAAGTACTTTTCAAGAAAATTATGGCAAGAACTATTAAATGGATCAACACTTGCTCAATAGAAATCCTATATTGGAAGTGAAAGATATGACCCCTAAGTTGAATTTTTATTTTTCCGATGCATAGGCCATGTTCACGTGTCAAGTAATTACTACAACAACAATATAAATAGCTAGACATGTTTTGAAAAAAAACCGTTAGTCCTGACTCACCGGTAATACTATAATTTTGGTGTACTATAATTATATATATAAAAGAAAATATTTGTAACAATTCAAGCCCACCGCTATCAAATATTGTCTAATTTGACCCGTTACATATCGTCATCAACCTCATAGTTTCAAAACGCTATCTGTTAGACTGAGATTTCACACCCATATAAAAAATGGTTCGTTCCTCTCGTCTTGATTTCAAAATTATTTCAACAAGACGGGAGACGTTTACCGTGCCACCAACCTTGATTTTAATTAGCATTTTCATTCATTTTCTCATTTTTACTCTATGGTCAAAATCAAATGCTTTATTATGGAGAATATTATACAAAACTTGAAATAATAGATATTAGAATTATTCATGCTTACAATAGAATAAATTATTTATAAAGTTAAATGTCATTTTTCAAACAATTTTTTTTTTACTTTTTATATCAATATTTTATTTTATTCTATATAAGTATTTCTTCAATTATTTAAAATATATATATTAAAATTTTATTTTTATTAAAAATAAATTTTTTTAATAAATTATCTAAACAAATTAAACCGACCTAACTGAAGTATTTTAATGGTTAAGTTGGATCGAGTTCATAATTTTTCAAATTTAAAAATATTTACGACCCAAATAATTTGATCGAATTTAAAAAATCTTTTAACAAGATCCAAGTGAACAGATAATACGTATATGGTTCATTTTGTTATTTATTTATTTTTTTTTATGGGACGACGTAACAATTTCTCGACCCATAATCAACACTATTATATATCTATAATATTACAACTTCTAACCGTGTACGTGGATTGGGTTGGAATTTTTTTTGGACCAACCAGAGGGCTCCCCCCTTGAACAGACTCTTAAAGGTTAGGTTACTACCTGGCGAGGCTCTCAAGGTAAGTTCAAGCCGGAACCATAGCGGGGGTATAAATTTCGAGTTGGTTGAGTTGGTGACCCGAATAACCCGAATAGAGTTCACAACCCAATTCAACTCAGTCTTTTAGGTTGGGTTGGATTGGGTCGTGTTCTAAATAACTAAAATCTCATAGAGCTCAAATATAAAACATTCCGAAGTCACAACACATCACTAACATTATTAATAAACATAAAATATATTCTTAATCATCGTAATAATCTTAAAACTAGGGTAGGATTGAGTCGTGTTCTAACCACATTCTCAGGTTAGTTGGGTTGACCCGACCAGAAAAAAGTCAAATCACGAACCATCCAAAATCTTAATTTTACAAAACTTCAACCCAACCCAAATCGAAAAAAAGAATATAACTCAACCGAACATTTATGACTTGAGTTGTGTAGTTCAAGTGGGTCGGATTATCAGGTCATATGGAAGGCACGAGAATTTAATGAAATAGAGGTTATAAATTGAGTAATTAGGCTAAAATTATGTACAATAATAGTGTTTATATATGTAATTAACAATAAGCGTCCTTAGAAGGCATTGATTCTTGAAATTCTTATCTATATGTAATTTATATATTTACTTGGAAAATTAAAAGTATTTAAATGAAATTAATGATGAACATGTTTATTTTTCTCAAGAAATAGAAGTCAAAATTGTAATTAAATTAACATTTAATATATCATTCAATTCGTTAATGCAAATTTAGAGTTGAAACAAAATTTTCAACCGTTAAATTATAAGTTTAGTTTATGAACGTTCATGTTCGTATTCTTTAAAAAATATCTTATAGATCTCTGAAATTTCATATTCTTTTGTATTTAATGTCAGCATTTTAAAAAATGTTCAACCCACAAACGGACGGGAAGGAATCAGAGGCTCGTTTTGAAAGAAATTAGTAGAATATTTCCTCTCTCAATTATCTGGTTTGATTATTGTCTCGAGTACGTATTTTGAAGACTCTGTTGTAAGAAAAAATGTTAGTACTGTTTACACGAGTTAGATCCAAAAAGTCCGTTCCGACCTAATCTAACGTAACCCACGAACAAAACACTGTTTCAATGCTAATTTGAGTATAGCTCAAGAAATAAGATATCAATTACTATTCTAATAGTCGATGATTCGATTCTCGACTCTTTACGCCCACGACCTTTGAACTAAAAAGAATCAAAATTAAATATACGCTAACTAAAAAATAAAACCCTAATTTTTACATTAGATAAAGCCAAATTAATTACATCATAATATCATACGCTATTTTTTTCACGGCTCAACCCCAAGAAAATCTATGAACTTAATATCCTTCTTTTCAACCAATTCATTCGAAATCTCAAAATTAATCGATTTCGATCGATTCTCTTTAAAATTTCTCAAATCTAATGAACTCTGATACCATCTTAAGAACAAAGACGACGGAAAATGGGGAAAGAAGCTATTGTTCCACTGATTATTAGGGTTTTGACGTTCCCAAAATCTTCGAAACAATCCTCCACCGCAACCGCCTCCGTGCGTTCTTGTTCTTGCTATCGCCGATGCTGCCAGAGAGGATTTGGAACCGATGAAAAATTCAGGAAAGTTTAGTTTAGTTGCAGAGAAATTGGATTGTTGTCTTTGCTTTCTGGCCATTATTACGTGCCAATGATTCTTCACAGCGTTATCAGTTCTTCCCGGAAAAAGCCTTGCGATTAATGCCCATTTGTTGCCGTGAATCCGATGTGCGGTTAAAAGCCTCTCTTCTTCTTCTTCTGTAAACGGTCTTCTATTTATTCTCGGATCCAATTGATTAAACCATCTCAATCTACAACTCTTCCCTATAAAATTATCAACTTTATTATATAAAATAAAAACAATTTAATAAATAAATTCGGAAAGCATAATTTTTTTTCATTTTCCCGATAACAACAATAACAAAAACAAGAACAAGAAACAACATACCTGATCTTCCTTGCAGCTTTTCGGCAATGAAATTCCAGTTTTGTGCGCCATACTGTTTAACTAGCCGACGGAGCTTCTCGTCCTCGGTCGGGCGCCAGTGTCCTCGTGGGCACGACTTAGTATCATCCCCGGAAGTCGAAGCGGAAACGAGAAGGCCGTCCATAGCGGGTAGGTTGAGAATGGAGATGAGATTTATATAAAGGAAGAAAGGAGAAAGTTGATAGGTTTGGTTTGAAGCTGTGGATGGTAAGTCACTTTTGTTGGTTTCACACGATTTTTATTTTTTATTTTTTCTTAGAATTTATTATTATTATTATTTTAACATGTAATTAAATTTCTATTTTTTAAAAAAAATAATTAAAGATATTAGGAGGTCCATGGTAATACGTTAAAATCAAACCTAGTCCCTATGGTTCGACATGTAGTTTAATTAACAACGACATTTCTCCTAGTAAATTTATTTTTCCGATTTTACTTTTACACAAAAAAAAAATGTATAATAATTATTATTGGATAATTTATATTATCGAGTTTATTTTAATTCTTTTTAATGTCTTATTCTTTAATATTCAAGCGTTTTATTTTAATTTTAGAATACAGACGATAAATTAATTTCGATAGAAATTAAGATATATATATATATATATATATATATTTTTGGTAGTAATTTTGTTTTTTGTTTTATTTGAAAAGTATTTTTGAAGAATAATTCTTGGTAACTTGTTAAAGTCATGATAATTATTCAATGGTTTAGATTGGTTATTCATAATATCTTAGTTTTTAAGTGTAATATAATGTTAATTATTCTAAAATATAGGTCAACCATAAAAAAAAAATTAAAAAAAATTAATAAAATATTTTAATTATGAAAGGATAAAAATTTTGTTTTTATATAAAAAAATATTTTGAACATTTGAAATATTTTAATTTTTGGGTCGATGTCTAAATATAGTTTAATCAGTAAGTTTATGTCAAAATGAACATAGCTCAATGATAATTGATATGCACTTCTTTCTTTGAATTTAAATGTTTGAGTGCTCGTGTTACCTCTAATGAATATGTGAAGTGTTATGCTAACGTTCAAAATTTAGTAACGTAATTTGAAAGTGAAATGACCAAGTAAACACAGTATTATAAAAAACGACAAATTTAACTATATGAACTACGTGTGTTCATGTTCAAAAAATTTGATGATCTGAAAAAATGTGATCAACGCTCAACCCAAACTCGGTTCAAATAAATAAAAAATTTATGAATTAGGTTAGTTTACGGGTTCGCGAAAAGAAATTGAGTTGTAAATCTTAATTAAATGTTTGAAAATAAACATTTTTATTAAAAACAAAAAATTTGAATAAACGGCCCAAACAACCCGAACCGACTATACCCAGAAAATTATTGTCGGTTCGAGAGGACAAAAAACTTACAACTTAAATAATTGGGTTGGGTCTAAAAAATTTCTAAACCTGACCCAACCTAATCCACAAACATCCTTATTACGAACTTAAGATGATGTATCTATTTAGTCCTTAAACTTTAACAAATGTCTAATAGGTCCACAAATTTTCAATTTTGCATTTCTATTAGATACTCGATCTCTTCAACATTTTTCAAAATTTACAACCGTACCACAAAATTGAAAATCTAGGGTTTGGCAAGCTGCGTTCCTCTAACGTATACCAAACAATTTCTCAATTCTCCGAGATGTTTTTTTTTTGTTGTTGTTGGCTTTAATAAATCTAAATGTCTTGCAACAACAGCATTTGAGAAAAAGATTAATAAATGGTTTCTTAAGTGATTAAGATTTGATACCCCACGAAACCAAACTCTTTACTTGTTCTTCGTGTTCTTCGTGTTCGTATTCTTGTTCTTTTTTCTTTTTCTGCTAATTCTTTGTCACCCAGGTGATTGGATTGGATTGATGATAATGGCGTAAAATGGTTCATGTATTTACATCATACTTTAATTAGTTGACCATCTCTATACCTCACCTAATTATATGAGTTTTTAATACCCATTTCCCTTTATTAATTGGGTATGCCATCGGTATCTCCTCTTAATTTCCTGCTTCTTTCTTAATCCCTCAAACCCTTTCTTGTTCTAATCAAGTTTTGCTTGCTTACGCTTCTAATTTGATTTTTTCGGTCGTTTAGAGTTTAGGATTTAGGGTTTAAGTCGTTTAGGATTTAGGGTTTAGGGTATAGTTTACTTTTGTCAAACGAGCAAAACTTGACGTGGTTGAGTTGATTGATTTGAGACACTCGATTGAGGTTTTGGTCTGAAAGAGGTGAGTTTAATCACTGTTTAACTAGAGATGTCCATGAGGTGGAGACGGGAAAGTCTTTTTTTTTTTTTTTTTGTAGGAGTCCTTCATCCAGGTTCGGGTCCATAAGCAGTGACAATCGCCCTATAAAGACTCGCTTTCGCTACGGCTCCGGTGGGTTTCCTTAACCAAGCCATTGCCTATGAGTCGTCGGCTCATTCTTCAACAAGCACGTGGTCAAAGTCCTTGTCTCCTCCCACTTCTTAGAAGCTTACGGTTTCATGTTCTATTTCACTCACTGATGAGGGTTCTTTTCACCCTTCCCTCACGATACTACTTCACTACCGGTCACCCACGAGTATTTAGGGTTTCTTATTGAGAAATTTTTTTCCCATTTTTCAAACGGAGACCGAGAATGATCACCGTTCTCCGTCTCGTTTAGCTAGAAAGAAATCTCTTCTCATTCCCTCCATCCTTCTCCGTTTTGAGCAAGGATTCTCCGCTCCATTCAAGACAGATACCGAACCCCTAGTTTCATGACTATTATCACTCAATTCCATTTAAATAACCTCAAATTACCTATTTAAAAAAATTCAAGATTTACATTAATACAAAATTTAATTTTTTTTAATGTGAAAATCAATAGCCATTTCCTCTTAGGCTTTCATTATTAATTGGGTGTTAAATCGGCATCTACTCTTTAATTGATGGATCTTTCTCTTAATTATTCATTAATCTCATCATAACCCCTTTTTTGTTTGTATTACTTTGTTTATTCTTTTGGTGGAAATTTTTAAAAGCTATATTTTCATTTTCGAGTCCATTCTCGTCTAAAATAATCTTAACTTTAAGAAATATCAAATCAGTATTTAGAATGAACGACGATAATCGACCTAAAGGTATCAAATCAAAGAACACACTGCTTACAGTTGTATAGATCAGTCGTGCTATACTCAACTATGTACAACGGTTGGATTCTAATTTTCAAAATGTACACTATGTACAAGACAAAGCATTGAGATTACCACTTCATATAGATCAATCGAGCTATACTCGATCGATGTGGCAGATAGAAAAGAGCGATGAAAAATATTGAGGAAGAGCGCCTCGTTACAGTGGTCTAGTGGGCTTGAACTTTAAAAAAATATCAAATGAATAAATGAACTTTCAATCTCTGCTCGAAGATGAAGATTGAACCATCGACTTTTGAATAGCAATGTAACAGCCTAGATCCACTGTTAGCAGATATTGTCCTCTTTGTGCTTTCACTTTCGGGCTTCCCCTCAAGACTTTAAAACGCGTCTGCTAGGAGAAGGTTTCCACACCCTTATAACATCATAATCCACCCCCTTTCGGGGCCTAGTGTCCTCACTGGCACTTTGTCCTTCCTCCAATCGATGTGGGACCACCACCAAATCCACCCTCCTTCGGGGCCCAGCATCCATACTGGCACACCACCTCATGTCTACCTCCTTCGGGAAACAGCGAGAAGGCTGGCACATCATCTAGTGTCTGGCTCTAATACCATTTTTAACAGCCCAGATCCATCGCTAGCAAATATTGTCCTATTTGGGCTTTCCCTTTCAGGCTTCCCCTCAAGGCTTTAAAACGAGGGAAAGGTTTCCACACCTTTTATCAACGGTGTTTTTGTTCTCCTCCCCAACCAACATGGGATATCACAAGCAATTAATGACTTTATCGGCTAACTATGTTCATATTAACCAACTGGTTTAAGACAATTTTACGTCGAGACCTCTTTCTTCTACTTTGACTCGTACATATTTGAATTCCGATTAGGTCTCCCGCAATTTTCAAACTTTTTTTTCCCTTTTTTTTCATTTGAAAACTTGTTTAAGTACCTAAATTATGACCAAAAGGTTAGTTTTGGGTCTTGTCAACAAATGTACGTAATTTTCTTTGATATAGAATTTTTTATGTCACGTAATTGTATTTATTTTGTCAACGAAAGGGTTCTAAGGCTTGGAAATTAATTATTAGAGATGAGAATTCAATAATATTTGAAGAAATTAAAGCCTTCTAGAAATACATTACTTAAGATTTTTCTTTAATTATTATTGTGAGTTGTGTTATTTAATGGGTATTATACATTACACCTTTGCTTTATTTTTCTTGGTGGGAAAGTAATTCGAATGTAATAGTTGGAAAAAGAAACATGGTCGGCTTTCTTAGCTCGGTTTGGCTTCAGTTGGTTTGACTTGTTTGGATCGTTTTGACTGTTTCGGAAGCAATTTTTACTCAATTGAGACTAGAAAATACGTATAACTGCAATTTAGACAATTTATAATATTTAGTACGACTTAAGAGTAATATTAGGATAACTAAGCGACGATAATTCAAGAATAAACTATAAGCTCAATTTTATGAATGAATGAAATATCGTAGGTGAAATTGGATAACGTGAATCTGAATTTAGGAACATTCAGCAAAAGCAAGCTTAGGAGCACCAAATTGAGTCTGAAACTGTATGTGAGCTTACGGTTGGAACACTTATGAGTTAGTGATATAAACCAAGAGACTTGGAAAATGTAATAAAATGAGCATCTGTGCTTTTATTAGTCAACGACTAAGTTTCTTTGCAATTCTATGCAATTTAGATTACATGTAGAATCATTCCTGACATGACCAATCTTATTTGTGAAGTAATTCGAATCTCAAACAAGTGTTCTTGCATTGAGATATTTGATCAACAAGAATCATTCAAGCTAGATAGGATCGATCTTGCTTGTGGAGTAATTCGAATCTCAAACAAGTGTTCTTGCATTGAGATATTTGATCAACAAGAATCATTCAAGCTAGATAGGATCGATCTTGCTTGTGGAGTAATTCGAATCTCAAACAATTGTTCTTGCCTTGAGATATTCGATCAATAAGGTAATCTGAATCTTATTCCCTTTTTATTCATTTGGCATCCGAGCTTTCCATTGAGTTGATTTCATATCATTTGGGTTGGATGACATTGATTGATGCACAAAAATACATATCAATGCATGTACTTTTTGTTTTGTTGATTATGTTTGCTGTGCTAATATGATCATGTTTATGCCTTATGAGAACTATGATATAGCATGTATGATAAGTATGAATGAAATATAATGAATAGGTACGTACATCTCCTAAGGAATTTACGTTTAGCTCTTGTATGCATTCTAATAACCCGAAATTAAAAAGAAAAAAAAATGAAAGTCTCACGTTTACTAGGTTAAGAAAGTGGGAATCCATTATAAGTGGAAGATCCCGTGATTTTTTGAGTTACAACAATTCCTTCTTTTCATCCTATTTGGACGGTTCAGAGTCTATTGGATAATACATTTTCTAATAGCTCTAGATCAGCTCTTTGGCTAATCTGGCTTGGGTTTGATACACTCAGACTCTTTTCTACTAGTTTCAACTCTTCAAAGGTGTTTACGGTTAGTATGACTACCTTTTAGCTAGTTTAAAATATTTGGAGTTCAATTAACGGTCAAGAAAAGTAGGTCTCATCGATCATGAAACATGTTGTATATGGTTGCATTTTTCAACCTCAACAGTGAACTCAAAGTGTAACAAACGATTCTCTTAGGATAGGACGATTTACTAACTTGTGAATGCAATACTTCGATCATATAACTCGATGAACACTACATGAACAATTGTGGATGAAAGAGAAAATGGTTGGGGGGAAACATTTCGAGTATAAAATATATGCATCATTTTTTTTTTCGGGTATCATTTAATACACTAGGTTAAGGTTTTCTTAACCTCATTCTAACTCTCTCGTGTCCTCTTTTCCTCCATCACATTCGTGTTTCTTTTTCAAGGTGTCGCTGTGATGTCCCATATTGGTTGGGGAGGAGTGAAAACCTTTATAAGGGTGTGAAAATCTTCCCCTATCAGACGTGTTTTAAAGCCTTGAGGGGAAGCCCGAAAGGAAAATCCCAAAGAGAACAATATCTGCTAGCGGTGGATATGGGTAATTACAAATGGTATCAGAGCCAGACACCGGACGATATGCCAGCCTTCTCGTCGTTCCCCGAAGGGGGTAGACACGAGGTGGTGTGCGATAAGAACACTAGCCTCAAAGGGGGTGGATTGTGATGTTTCACATTAGTTGGGAGGAAGACAAAACATTTTTTATAAGAGTGTGGAAACCTTCCCCTAACATTCCCGTAGCAGAAGCGTTTTAAAGTTCTGAAGAGAAGTCCGAAAGGAAAAGTCCATATCTACTAGCGGTGGATCTGGGTCGTTACAGTCGTACCAAGATAATTTGTTTCTTGTCGTGGTAAAAATAAAAGTGAGTAACACGTGTACGATAACCAACTTAAAAAAAAAGTAAAGAGTAAAGTATTACTGTCTAACTCAAAAACCTAAAATGGAAGGCATTTATTTATTTATTAAGGAACAAAAATTACTTTAAAATTTAACCGGTTAAAATTGTTTTCAATGATTTTGTTTAATAAAATAAATTAATTAATAATAACTAATTATCTAGAATTAATTAATATAGTAAAAGTGTTAGAAAGTAATTACATAATTAAAATAAATATTATTTTTTATATACCATTTGGATATTAGTCTAAATTAATAATTAAAAAAAATCTCTAAAATTTATATTTTATCTAAAAAAAATAATCATAAATTTTTAAAATTTCAATAATATCCTAACTTTTAACCATTATCACTTTTAACTTTCATAAAAAAAAATTCACACCTTTTTTTACTGTAAGTATATGGATAAAGTTTTTCTAAAATTTTTAAAAAAATTTAAAAAAAATTTGAATTTTTTTTTTAAAATTAAAAGAGATTTTTTAAATAATATTTTTAAAAGAGTATTTTATTTGTAACAACCAGAAAAAAAAAATAATAATAAGAAAAAAGAAAAAAAAAATCTATTTTACAGTAAAGTTCTTTTTACAGATTAAAAAAAATATATATAGAGAGTTTTTCCATAAATGTTTAGCACGACGTTATTCTGCCCGTGGTATTGCACATATTCAAGCCCATAATATATCCGTTATATTGCACAGATTCGAAAATTCAAGCTCACAAGAAGTAATATTATTGTTTGGATACGTATGGATCAGAATTTCATTAATTTTCTTATAAATTTCTATATTTTAAAAAATTACAATAAATTATATTTTAGATTTTCTTCCTCTTTTATCTTAATGGGTGGAAATTATTTAGATTTTTGTTAAAATTAGTCAAAATTATTTAGATTTTAGTCATAAATTATATACCAAAAATGTTACACTAAACTAGTAGTTTTTTTTTTTTTTTTTTTTTAGAAAATCAATTAAAACGGACCAAAAGTAATTTTGATTGAATAAAAGAAAAAAAAGTCCTACTAAATATAATATTACAACAAACGATATTTAAATTTAATAATCGGATGAATAAATAATATTGACATATTTTTAATTTAAGTTTTACTACACGACAGAGTTTAGAAATAATAAAAAAAATGAAATTCGATTTTTACTGAGGAAATTAAGTTTATATTCAAAATATATGAATTCTCGATATAAGTGAGAACGAATTTAAATGATGAAAGCAAGCAAATTTGGAATTAGATAGAACTTTGGCTAAAGCCAACCACGCAAGTGGTCTTACTTGGTTCAGTCGAAAAACTTACCTTATGTATGAAGATGTGTTCAAGTGTCCCTTGCACATGTCATTTATGCTTTATGTTATATGATGATGTGTAATGATGATGTGATAATGTGATGATATGATGATATATATGATGATGTGATGAGATGACATGATGATGTGATATGATATGACATGATGCTGAAGATGCATGATAACATGATGATGGATAACTTACTCTAACATTATTCCATATTAAGATGATGTGCATGTATTAAATGTCATGAAGCATTATGACGACAATTTTTCTAAGATACAACCCTAGTTAATGTTAATAATTATAACTGTATGAAGGCCAATGCATGCATGTTACTTCGAGTAATATGTGGACGAGTATATGGTTGTGTCATAAAGATGATTTAAAGATGAAAACTATAGAGACCTCATACATTTTGTGTGTACATAAACATCGGGTTACTTTCCCATTTATGATAATGAGTACGAACGCGTACACTATGATGATGATCATCATCATGCCTCGCATGACACTTAGGGGTCTGTTGACCACCAGACATCGCTACAGATAGTTAGCTCGACTATGATGGGTCTTGGGGGTGTGAACTGCCTGGGAATCTACGCTCGCACGTGTGGGTTATGTGTAGGGAAGTACTCACATCCAATTTTGTTAAGACTGGATGTCACCCTTACGATGGTTTTAACGATAGGTCCTTAACCATAAGTTGCATGTGTTTGCATTCCCTGACATTAATAGTATGATCACCTATTGAGTAGTTCTTAAAATACTCATCATGTGCTACTTCTATTTAAGGTAAAGGCAAGACACCCATGTACGGCTAACGACGACATTGCTAGTAGAGACCATGACACGTTTATAGGATATTAGTATTTCATTTTCTTAAACTTAAGATAATATAAGGTATTTTTACCTTTAATGTTTTAATGGTTACTTTTACTATTTTGTTTTGAAAATATCCTCCAACTTAAAATCGTTGAAATTTAAAATTTTATATTAATATTTTTGGACTTGTTAAAAAAATTATTTTTTACTATCAATATATAAACAAAAATTATTTATCTACCGATTGATTATCTGCAAACATTTTAACGTTCATATAAATATATATTTGAAATATTAAAATTTAAAAAGTAAATTTTAAAAAAATTTAAGAATATTTGTGAGAGTTTTCAGTGTATTTTTGAGCACAGAAGACCGGACTGATTCTCAAACTCCGAAAATCTCAGATCGGAGAATGGTTCAGATAAGGCAAAGATCTTCGGTCGCAGCATCAAATTCCGGCGGAATCGACGACTCGCCGGAATTTCTTCCATCCGAGAAACCCAAATCTAAAACCTATGATGATTTCTGTTCCACTAACAAGCTCCTTGTGCTCTGCTTGGCATTTCGATTCGCAAATGCGCTTTTATTGCAGACTTATTTCAATCCAGATGAACACTGGCAAGCCCTTGAAGTTGCCCACCGCATCGCCTTCGGGTAACGTTTCTCCTTCTTGTGATCCTCCTCTCCTTGTTACTAATCTCCTTTCCGCTTCTAATTTTCCTGATTTCTGGGCTGTAATTTCTTGATGAAATAGCTTGACGAAGCTATAATTCAATGATGAGTATCCATTTTGTAGGTATGGTCATCTGACATGGGAGTGGAAGAGGGGAATTCGTAGCTACTTCCATCCTTTGCCGTTTGCTTGTCTTTATAAATTACTTGCTATACTCGGCCTTGATACTCCATTGTTCATGGTAAAGTATTCAACTATGTATAATCTAGTAAACCTGTTTGATTGGCTGTGGAAAATTGAATTGTGAAATTTTCTTTACCATGCTTTATAGATTAAAGCTCCGAGGCTGTTGGAATCCATATTCTCTGCAGCTGGTGATTTTTACTTTTACAAACTCTCCTCTGCCCTCTTTGGTGATTATGTTGCAAAATGGGCTGTATCCTTCTGCTGTTGATTGACATATGTTTATAATCTTGAAAGAAGAGAAATACATTGTGATTGTTAGACAAAATATACTTAACTCTACTTCAGCTGTTTTCCCAGCTCACAAACTGGTTTATGTTCTTCTGCTTCAATCGAACTCTATCGAACAGCTTAGAGACCGTTCTTACACTTGTCAGCTTGTATTATTGGCCTTGTATAAGAGTTGCTCCCACCAGATCTTCCAAGGTTTCGAGGAAGATGGCTTTGTTTATGGCAGCATTATCGTGTGCTATTCGCCCAACTAGTGCGATTACTTGGCTGTATGTTGGTATGCTTGAGCTGTTTTCAGCACGTGATCGACTAAGGTTTATTTTCTTAGAGGCTGCTCCTATTGGGTATGTACCAAATCTCCTAATTGTTATAACTTATAACATGTTTAACTTCTTGTTCTTGGTTCTTGAATAGGTATGGCTTTTTTCCGTCTTTACTATCATTTTCTTTGAACTTCATTTTTAGAATTAGTGATGTAAAAACCAAGATGTCAAGCAGTTATAGAACAAAGTTGTTATCATTGGTTAATCATTCAAATCATGTCTATAAAGTTGAGCGGGGTGTTTTATCTAATGGGTGCAAATTGATGAAATTAATCATGGAAAAACCTAGAGATGTGAATTTAGGTGGCCAAGTTAGGATATATGTTGATACAAAGCCAACCTTTTGATTTCCTTCTGTCTGGAATAAATTTTGATGGTTGCACATTCAACTTCTGGAAGTGTTGCAAGACCATTTTTTCTTCTTGGTGTCACTGCATCATTTATAGAGGAAAATTTCCATACTAAGCTAGTACTTCTGAAGTTTGACAATCCCATGATTGAAAAGAAATATAACCCTGTTTTCACTTTCACCTCTTGAATAATTTGAAAGTTGGAGTAAGTTAAAAATCTGCCAAGTTAGCGGTGAACAGTGGTAATAAATCATGACCAATCAAGGTTTTTTGTTGTTTTCCTATCATATCCTCTTACCATTATATTTACACATATAGTTCGCTCTGATCTTCCACCATCTGTAAGTGTAATAATAGCATCGATTAAGAAAAGTTCAATGGGAGGAGACTGAGTATTGCATAATTCACCGTCTCCCTTTGAGTATCCATTGATACAGGATTTTGTGGTTTTTCATCATTTTTAATTGATAACAGTTGGAGCCTTCTGTTTTAATCTTTTAAGTCTCCCTTTGTTGGGTTTGACTGGTGTTTATGCATGCCCTTTCTTTTGTATTTTTAGTGGGTTCCTTTGGCTGCATTTGATAATTTTTGAACACTAAAAATGTAGTTCTTAAAAACTTGTTTTTTTGTTTGGAATTTGACTATGATTTCAAACGTTTATGATGAAAGTTCAAAACCATTGTAAAGATCTTAGGTAAGTTAATAAGAATGGTGTTGTATGAATGGCGGATGGAGATTTTATTGGTTGCCCCTTTATATTCGTTCCTGAACCGATGAGATGATTGTTCTCCCCATTTATTTTCCTGGATAGACCAACTGCTGTTTCGGGTCGATTAATTTGCATGGCACTCTGTCGAATATTTAGGAGATTCTCGCACTCATTTTCTTTAACTCTCTTAAGATTTCAGAGTATCTAAATCTTTCTTTATCCCTCAAATTTGTTATACCAGGTCGTTGGTTCTTGGGATTACATTTCTGTTGGATAGATTAATGTATGGCTCCTGGGTATTTGTCCCTCTTAATTTTCTGAAGTTCAATGTCCTTTCCTCTGGTGGAGATTTTTATGGAACTCACAAATGGCACTGGTACTTCACCCAGGGCTTTACTGCCATGCTCTTCAGTTTCATTCCATTTTCCATTTCTGGCATCATTTCCTCAAAAAAATGGAAACTCACAGGTCTTGTCATCTGGGTTCTAGGAGTTCATAGTCTACTTGGCCATAAAGAATTCAGGTATCTCTTTCACACTATTGACAACACCCAACCTATATCAATTTGGCATTGGTTTGAAGTATGTGTTCGTTTTCTTTTAACTTTGTTACTTACAGGTTTGTCCTTCCCATTCTTCCAATAGCATTGATGTTTTCGGGCTATTCGTTAGCCGCCCTTAGATATCCTGCTTCTCCGAATGGTAAAAGGGAAAAATCGCGAGACGTCCACAGTAAATGTCCTATGAAAATGAAGTTGGCTGTAATATTTTTGCTGGCTACAAATATCCCAATGGGTTTGTACATGAGTTTGGTTCATCAGGTATCTATGTTGGCTAATGAGAGTAAAAAGAAAAATTCAAAGTTGGTTGTGTTTTTGTTTCTTCTGCTCTATTATCTAACCAGAAGATATACTGTGCAGAGAGGAACAGAGGATGTAATGAACCATCTGGCTAAAGAAGCCGTGTCTGAGAAAGTCAAAAGCATCCTTTTTCTGATGCCCTGCCATTCGACGCCATACTATTCGACTCTGCACCGAAACTTACCAATGCGGTTTCTAGACTGCACACCAAGGTGTGTAAAGCCTTTTTTGTTTTTTTTTTTTTTTTTGCTTTCAGAAACCATTCATTGGTATGATGAAATGGAATACAAAAGTTCCTATTTGATAATAATCACAAAAAATACATTCACTGGTTAACGTGGATAGATGAACTATAAATACAAAAAGGAGGAAACAAGCTGCTCCAAGTGCCAAAAGAGAAGTGGATTCCATGAGGGGAGGCTGTTTGAGGGTTCTATAGGCCTCAAGGGAGGCTCTATGATGTATTTTGTTTAAGGAGAGGATTGTTAGGAGGGAGTCCCACGTTGGCTAATTAAGAGGATGATCCTGAGTTTATAAATAAGGAATACATCTCCATTGGTATGAGCCATTTTAGGAAAATCAAAAGCAAAACCATGAGAGTTTATGCTCAAAGTGGATAATGTCATACCATTGTAGAGATTCGTGGTTCCTAATATGATTCAGTAGTAGGAGAGAGAGATAAGTAAATATGTGGCAGGGTCTTGGAAATTCCCATCCAAAGGCGTGTTTTGCTTAAAACAACAAGAACCTTGAGCCATAAACACGTCTACTAAAAAGGTGGATTCGTGATTCTTCACCGTTCAAACACATAGGAAAGCACATCTACTAAAAAGGTCGGATTCGTGATTCTTCACTGTTTATAAGCACATAGGAAAGCAGCGGGGAGAAATGTATAACAGTTGAGAATGCCTCTGAGGCTTGTCAAGTATTGGTGTCTCAAAACTTCTCCTTCCGCTACTCGATGCTTTTCTTCGTCTATTTCTTCCACCTTTTCTTGAAGTGTGATGGCTTCTCCATCTTATCATTTCAACACATTTGAATAATGTTTAGTTAAATAGTTTCACGTTTATGTAATAGCAGATTTGAGAGGTTGGTTGATTGTGATCGAGAAATTTAAGTGATATAAACCAATACCAAGAAACTTCCATACCTTAAGGTCTAATTCCAGAGACGAGAGACAAGAAGTAGCTCCCATATAAATCTGGGATGATTGACAACTTACATTGCTCTTTGTCTTTGTCTTGTACCTGTAACTATTGATCATCTGTGATGCAATGCATAAAATGTGCCGATGTCTCTTGCAGCGAAGAGAGAGAAATTCCAGTCGAGTCAGACCGTTTCTTGACGAACCCGCTTGATTTTGCATCAGAATTTGCTAAAAACTGGACGGTCCCGAGTCACATTGTATTGTTTGAATCAGAAGAGAGACCACTGAAGGACTTTCTGAAATCGCATTCTTTCAAGGAGGTTAGAAGTGTTGTATTGTATTTGCTATCCATTACTTAATAATCTTGTGGGATACTTGAGTTGGGTTGTGTGGAATGCAGGATAAAAGGTTCTTCCATGCTCACTTCAAGGTGGACCGTGATCTTCAATCTTCAGTGGTTTTATATGTCTTAACCAACCAATGACTGTTTTTCTCAGCCGACTTACCATTTTTTCTCCATGAAGATTGGTTTTAACTATAGATGATGCCTCTTCTTTTTTCCATAGACAAACTTTGTGAGGATGTTAGTGATTTCGAGTTGTACATTCCTATGCCACAACCTTTATTGTTGTTATATGGATCCAATTCATGTTGGCCTAGTTACAAACAAAGAAAACATTACTTTCGTGATGGGAGTTTCCATGCCTCCGTAGGAAAGAGATCTTCAATCTTCTAGAGGATGTACATTTGGTTACTAGGAAACAGATTTTTAAGCAATTGGTTACTATAAATGTAAAGTACATCCTCTAGAAGAAAGGATAGATCCTGAAATTCAAATATATATATATATATATATATATATATATATATATATATATATCATAATATGCTTCAAAATAGTCCAAATGTGCATAAAAGTAAAAATCATAAATTATAAATCATAAACAGTCCAAATGTAAGCTTATAATTCATAAACCATAAGCATAAAACATAAATCATAAGTAATACATTAAGTGCGTGTGTATTTTGTGACGAACAACTAATTTAACTTTAAGAACAAGGACTTTATTTTCTTATTGTTCTATAGAGATAACACACATTATAACACAAAATCTCCCCCACTAACTAAACATAACCAAAAATATCAACAAATTCAACTTAACTCCTAATCAAAACTTCTAAGAGAAAGGTTGAGATTTGTTACTGTTTCAGTTTGCTTGGTTGGAGGTGCTTGATGTGCAAAGGCTACCGGACGACGAACCGAAGCGCAACAATGGGCGTTTGGTGTGGCTAACGGCTGGATGTCGATGGGTGAGGCTGAACGGTTGGCATCCGCATGGACGGCAACAGATCCAATAATTATCAGACAGATTAATAGAATCGCATCAGGCAACGCCGGTTAGAGGAAGAAGGAAAACTCTAAGAGTTTCTTCCGAATAATTGCAAAATTCAAGAGCTAGGCCACACTTATATCTATAGTTCTACCTCAAATTTCAGTGGTAAATTATATAATTTAACCTAAAAGAAAATACCCAGAGAAGATCTCAAAGAACTCACAGCCACAATCAAGCATTCAAAGGTTTGAGCAAAGACAACAACAACAGGCCATGCAAGGGCTTTAAGGGGCATAGTAGAATGCAAGATAAGGGCATTGTGCATACCTCTGCCATTGACGCATACGATTCAGGCGTTTGTTTTTGGCAGATACCAGAAACTATGAAGCTTTCCCATCACCAGGAGAAGACTAAGCAAACAACTGCGTCAACTTAAAGTTAAATTGCATCAAAATTCAAGTGCATCATTAAGAAGGAAAAGGGATGAAAGTTTTGCACAATGCCCTCAGATCTCATAGCTTAGTTCCTCATTGACAATGTTTGCATTTGATTTGCATACTAGCCTCTACTCATCATCTCCAACCACAATAAAAGAAAAGAATGGAAATGGAAAAGGCTTTATATATATATATATGTATTTGCATGTGTGTGTTTCCACAGAGAGAGAGAGAGAGAGAGAGAGAAAGAGATAGCAGTGGTTGAGGGCAAAAGCTAGCATTAGAAATCAAAGCAATTACTCCAAAGCACGAGTTTTTCCATCATTGGGCAGGGAAAATTTTAAGATGCTAGAGGAAATGGTAAATAAAAAATTAAACTATAACAACATTATACACAGTCGAGCCACGGTCCAAGATCACCGCTAGCAGATATTGTCCTCTTTGGGTTTTCCCTTCAAGTTTTCCCTCGAGATTTTGAAAACACTTCTGCTAGGAAGAGGTTTCAACACCCTTATAAAGAATGTTTTGCTCTCCTCCCCAACCAATCGATGTGGGATCTCACATTTTGCTACTTCGTAATCATTATCAATATTAATCATCATCAACATACTAATTTAATATCTAAACTATCCTAATAATACTCATAGCTTTCTTCACCATAATACTTGTCTTAAGAGAAAGATATAAAACTACTTAAAACAAACCAACATGTATAAAAGTTTAACAAAAAATAAAAAAAGGAAAGAAATTAACATCAGGTATTCCCCCCTTAAAGAAAATGGATTAGTTTGATTGGTCTTTTAAGATCAAACTAAAAATACAACGTTACCAGGTCGTTTAGAATAATTTTTAAAACAGTATTTCTAATTGATAAACACATCAAAAATAGATTATTGTAAAATCTGACAAGAACAACAGTTATGGTTTAATGAAAAGTAAACCATTTTCAAGATGCCCTCAGATCTCATTAACATTATTTATCATTTCTAGATAGACTGTTGACATTCATTACTAGCCTCTACACATCCTTAACCACTCATTAAGAAAAGAAGAAACAAACAAAGCAAATGGATGGATTATAGATGGATATGTGTGTAGATATATATATATACATATATATATATATCTATATATATAGAGAGAGAGAGAGAGAGAGATTATGTATGTGCTGGTTAATGGCAAAGGCTAGTAATAAAGATCATTAGTAACTGCTCCAATCGGAGTATTCCATCATCGGGCCGATGTAATTTTTAAAGCAAAGCAAGTATTTTGAGTCTCAAAAATAAAATATTTCATAAGTTCCTCCATGAACTTCAAAACTCAATGTTCCTCATCTACGTGGTTGGAGGGGGGAATGAAGCATTCTATATAAAGGTCTAGAAATCTCTCCCTAGCATAGGCGTTTTAAAAATTTCGAAAGAGAAAACCTAAAGAGGACAATATTTTCGAGAGAGAAAACCCAAAGAGGACAATATTTGCTAGCGGTGGGCTTAGGCGGTTACAATCTAACATCCCTCTAGAAAAACAACTCGAATTAAAAAACGAATAGCAAGCCATTATTTAGACCAATCATCACTTCAAAGCTAATTCGTGCAAGCTGAGAAGAAAACAGTAAAAAAATTCGGTACAACTTTAAGAGCAAGGACTGTGTACAAGATCCCCTCAGCCAAAATTGATATTCATCACTACCTCTACACAGATTAATACCTCTAGAAACGAGTTTTCCATGATTGGGCAGTGGGCATGTGCAGTTTTCTGATAAACAGGGGAAGAAAGACGAACACTAAGATCAATAATCAGGCTACTAAAGCAAGCAAAGCAAATTCCAGATAACAGTTGTTACAAATGAGAATCATTTAGAACTTGTATTATTAATAAGAACACAATCCCTTTTACATGTAAAAAATTAAAACATAAAGATACAAACCATTTCATAGAATTTAGAGCAAATAACAGGAGAAGAAAACTAATCCATTGAATTTAGGGCTTTTATTCAACAGCATGCAATTCATCCAAAAAATACCATCTTGAAATTAGAAACAGATTCAAACAACAGATGCATAAATCCCTAAGAAGAAAAAGACTAATATCAAATATATAAACAAAAGAACAACAAAGTTTAGACGTATAAGATTTAGCTTCCTAAGCAGCATTCCCTTCATAATAAAAAAAGCCCAGTACAAATATTATTCGTAATACCCCAAATAGATATACTAGATCCTAATGAACGGCATAAAACGTATAAATAGAAGAAAATCTTGATAGAACTGGGTATTAAGCATGACCCGCAAATACAAAAACAAAAACAAAACATGAACGATCAAAGAATCAGAGTGCTTATTACTAAAGAAAGCGGCCATGCAAGGAGCCAAAAATGAAATTTAAGGCACACCCACAAAGATTTGAGGTGAAATAGTTAGAGATAAGCTCATAAATAAAGGAAACCCTCAGATCTGATAGCTTGAACTGAATGACACACGGAGTAAACGAAATGGGGTTCATCAACAGCCCCTACTAACAGTCAGGGGTCGAAGGCAGTGAAGGAGAATGAAGGCTGACTAACGATGAACAAGGAGGGTTTGATCTTCTCTCCAAACTTCACCACCTCAAGTTATCGTAAAAAAGGAGCTATTGGTAAAAACATTTTTTTTTTCACTTCCTATGAATGTAATGTCAGCCTGAAAAAAAGAAAGAACTTAAGAAATTAAATTAAATTAAAATGATTCTTTTGGTCTAAATTTAAAAACCTATCTGATGAGGTTTTATGATAGAACCATTTAAGATAATATTTTTTATAAAAAATTTAAATAAATAATTTATTCAATATAAAGAAAACAAAAATAAAAATACTCAATTCTCGGAAAAACAAACATATATTTCCCGGAAATCATAAAATTCATGAATTCCGCTGAAGATTCAAAATTTTCAATTGGGAATCATGAATTTCTACTCGAATTTGACCAAAATTCGTATGATTTCATCGTAATTGATTGAGATTAAAGTGATTTTGCTTTCCAATTTTGTAAGATTTTTGTTCATACCATGTTCTCTTATGCGTAAAGAGTCATTTTAATACCATTTAGGTTACACAAACCAAGAACAACAGAACCTAGAACAAAGGTAACGAAGTAGAATTGAGCCCTCAGATCTCATAGCTTTAATAGAATCATACACAGTATTAAAGCAAACGGCGTTCGTTCATCAAAAGCCTTTACCAACAGTGACGTGTGTGCGATTTCATGTATGGATTGAATGAAAGAGTATATGGAGATGAGTAAAGGCTAACGACGAACAGAGCCATCTGCAACCGATCAATAGATAGTGTTTTTCCATCATTGGGCGAAAATGAAGTTACCGATCTCGAGAAGCAAAGTAAAAATGGAAAATAAAAACGAAACCCTAAGAATTCACAGCCACAATCATCAAACATCAAAAGTCCAAACAGAAGAAGAAGACGATGGCGAAGCACAAAAGAGAAGGGCGGAACCATACCCTGGATTTTATAGAGAGCTCTGAAGTGCACGATCCGCCATGGATTTCGCCATGAACTGCGACAGAGGCGGGGCTGAAATCTGTGGACAAGCCATAGCGCATCGTGGCTTGCAACTGTTAGATGAAAATGAAGGCCCAAATCATTGCTATGGGCCTGGATCATTAAACAACAGCCGATTTGATATCAAAAATATAGTCACCATGTTCTTGCACATATTAACAACAACGTTATGAACCAAACCGAGTGGCTCGTAGACCGTTATCGAGGTCTAGTGAGACGGTATCGAGACGTTTTGACTTCGTTCTTGTAACAATATTGCGATTCTACAAGATTTTGTTAAAAGCACGAGCTAATTACAAATTCCTGCGTTGACGAGAGATGGAAATGGTTCGAAGTATATACGAAGTTCATATGTGTTTATGGTCACGGGGAGATTTTAGAACGAACCAATTAATTTAAGTTTAATATCTTGTCTTGTTTCGACAACACATATCTAAAGGTAAACGTTAGTGCGAAATATCAATAAATGTGATTGCGGTTTGCTCCGCAAATGGAGAATTCATTTTCATCATGTTGGGATGAAAAGACTCAACAGTGGATTCGAAAATGCTCGGGATTCAATATTACGACCTAACGGGTTAAGAGTTTTTGAAGGCATACAAAATTTATGAATTGTTAATGTTATATGATCAAATGCATATGGTCGTATACAATAACTACTCGTACATTATACAAGATACTATTATCTTTGTCGTGTTGAGTGTCGCAACCGCACTCTTGCGGTTACGGGACAACGATTGTACTACACTTGTTGTAACCCAATGAACAAGTCAGTAGTGAGAAACTCGAACTTCGCAGATGCGTTGGCATATACTCGGGTCTCGAGTCACATTTAAGAAAAATGTTTTAGAAAACGCGAGCAAGAAAATACGTTCACAGAAAGCAATGAGTTGGCATATACTCGGACTTCATGAGGGCATGCATGTCCAGACACACACAAACCAAATGATACATAAAAAAGTGGGTTGGTCTGTGATGTAAGGCTGATGGCCCATGTGTCCCTGAGGCCCAACTATATGATTACAAGAGAGTGAAAGATAGAGATTAATAGACACATTTTAAAATCGTGAGGTTAACAATGATACGTAATGGACCAAAGCGGACAATATCTGTTATTGGCGGACTTAAGATGTTACAAATGGTATCAGAGTCAGACATCGGTCTGTATGTCAATGAGGCCGTTGGGTCCTCATGAGGGGTGTATTGTGAGATCCCATATCAGTTAAAGAGAGAAACGAAGTATTCCTTATAAGGGTCTCGAAACCTCTCCTTAACAGACGCGTTTTAAGACCGTAAGGCTGATAACGATATATAGCGGGCTAAAGCAGACAATATCTACTACAACGGCCTCAAGTTGTTACAGTTATTCAAGAGTTTTTGAATCTACATCCCACAGTTACGAGTCATCCATATTATAACAAATCCATTGAACCCTTTTTTTTCCTCATAAGTCAGGGTTTACGACTCCTATGATCCGTTTGGATGATGACCAAACAAATTTATACCTTGTGGTACTTAAAGAGCATAGAGATTTCTAAATCTACGACCAACAGTTATTACAAGTCATCCATATTACAACAAACCCATAGAATATTTTTCTCGTAAGTCAAGAATTACAACCCCTACGATCCGTTTAAACAACGAGAGACAACGTTACGAAACAAATTTATATCTCGTGATTATTAAAGCGCATACAGATTTCTAAATCTTATTACAAGCCATCCATATTAGAACAAACCCATTGAACTATTTTCACGTAAGTCAGGGATTACAGCTCCTACGATCCATTTAAATGACGAGAAACAGCGTTACGAAACAAATTCATATCCTCTAGTTATTAAAGCGCATACAAATTTCTATATCTTACTACAAGTCATCCATATTACAACAAACCCATTGAATATTTTTCTGATGAATAAGAAATTACGGTCCTTATGGACGGTTCGGGTGATGAAAAACAACGCTACTAAAGAAGCTTTTTGAAAATGGATTGGCAAAGGCTTATCTTGTTATCCATTTGCATCTCTCAACATCAAAGATGTGGACATCAGTAACAAAGAGCAAAAGGATAGAAGTTGACATGATAGAGAGTAACATGCTATATATATATATATATATATATATATATATATATATTTTTTTTTTTTTTTACATAACTATTTTTATTATTAAAAAAAAAAAATTTTTTTTTTTTTTTACATAACTATTTTTATTATTAAAAAAAAAAAATTTTTTTTTTTTTTTACATAACTATTTTTATTATTAAAAAAAAAAAATTTTTTTTTTTTTTTACATAACTATTTTTATTATTAAAAAAAAAAAATTTTTTTTTTTTTTTACATAACTATTTTTATTATTAAAAAAAAAAAATTTTTTTTTTTTTTTACATAACTATTTTTATTATTAAAAAAAAAAAATTTTTTTTTTTTTTTACATAACTATTTTTATTATTAAAAAAAAAAAATTTTTTTTTTTTTTTACATAACTATTTTTATTATTAAAAAAAAAAAATTTTTTTTTTTTTTTACATAACTATTTTTATTATTAAAAAAAAAAAATTTTTTTTTTTTTTTACATAACTATTTTTATTATTAAAAAAAAAAAATTTTTTTTTTTTTTTACATAACTATTTTTATTATTAAAAAAAAAAAATTTTTTTTTTTTTTTACATAACTATTTTTATTATTAAAAAAAAAAAATTTTTTTTTTTTTTTACATAACTATTTTTATTATTAAAAAAAAAAAATTTTTTTTTTTTTTTACATAACTATTTTTATTATTAAAAAAAAAAAATTTTTTTTTTTTTTTACATAACTATTTTTATTATTAAAAAAAAAAAATTTTTTTTTTTTTTTACATAACTATTTTTATTATTAAAAAAAAAAAATTTTTTTTTTTTTTTACATAACTATTTTTATTATTAAAAAAAAAAAATTTTTTTTTTTTTTTACATAACTATTTTTATTATTAAAAAAAAAAAATTTTTTTTTTTTTTTACATAACTATTTTTATTATTAAAAAAAAAAAATTTTTTTTTTTTTTTACATAACTATTTTTATTATTAAAAAAAAAAAATTTTTTTTTTTTTTTACATAACTATTTTTATTATTAAAAAAAAAAAATTTTTTTTTTTTTTTACATAACTATTTTTATTATTAAAAAAAAAAAATTTTTTTTTTTTTTTACATAACTATTTTTATTATTAAAAAAAAAAAATTTTTTTTTTTTTTTACATAACTATTTTTATTATTAAAAAAAAAAAATTTTTTTTTTTTTTTACATAACTATTTTTATTATTAAAAAAAAAAAATTTTTTTTTTTTTTTACATAACTATTTTTATTATTAAAAAAAAAAAATTTTTTTTTTTTTTTACATAACTATTTTTATTATTAAAAAAAAAAAATTTTTTTTTTTTTTTACATAACTATTTTTATTATTAAAAAAAAAAAATTTTTTTTTTTTTTTACATAACTATTTTTATTATTAAAAAAAAAAAATTTTTTTTTTTTATTCTTTATTTTAAACTTTAGTTTGGTACTTTCCTTTTCCCATTTTAAGTTGATGTTGTGTGGGCACATGGTGGGCCTCCCACCCTTTATTTGCTGAAAATGAGCTTTTATTTAATTAATTAATTAATTATTTATTTATTTATTTATTTATTTGAGTGCTTTGTATGGGCCCACAAGAGGGCCCAAATAAAAATTGTACCTCTTCTTAATTAATTTTGTACTTCTTTTAATTCATTTTTAAAGTCCCATTTGATTATTAGATTAAGCTTATAATAAGCTTTATGATTGCTTCATAATTTAAGGTTTTAATTATGAAAAAAAAAAGAAGTCACATGATAAACACGTGCACTTTTTTCACTATTTATTTTTTGGTTTAAATATATAAATATGGCTAAATTAATAAAAATATCCTTTATTTTATTTTAAAAATACTCTTGAACTTTCAAATTTTTTTTTAAAATACCCTTAAAGTTAGAATAAAAAAATTTAAAAATGTTATTATGCTGATTTTGGAGAACGTTTTAGAAATATCGTTGAACATTCAAAAAGATTTTTAAAATACACTTTAGTCTATGGACTTAGATAAAAAAAAATTTTGATTTTTTTTTAAAAAGGTAAAATTTCGCGGATATTTTTTAAACATATATTCATGGTAAATATATTTTTTAAAAGTTTGAGGGTATTTTTAGAATACTATTGGAAGTTTAAGGGTATTTTTGAAACAAAATACTAACGGTCTTTGTAAAAAACTAACAATAAGGGTATTTTTGGAATACTATTGAAAGTGTAAGGGTATTTTTGAAAAAAAAAATACTAACGGTCTTCGTACAAAAAAAACTAACCATAAGGGTATTTTTTAAACAAAATACTAACGGTCTTTGTACAAAAACTAGCAATAAGGGTATTTTAAAAGTTTAAGGGTATTTTTAGAATACTATTTAAAGTTTAAGGGTATTTTTGAAACAAAATACTAACCGTCTTTCTAAAAAAACTAACCATAAGGGTATTTTTTTAGATTTTTTTTTTCGAAAATTTAATTTTAGTATTGTAACGTCTAAAAGTTCAGGTATATTCTGGAGGCAAAGTAGAGCGTTTAAGGGTATTTTTATTAATTTAGTATATGAATATAAAAAAAAATTAATAAAAAAAAAAAGTGATATTTTATTTACTCTTCCTTTCCCCACACACAACAAAACCTTTTGAAGTAAAGTACAATTTAAGTTATAATTTAGTGTAACCTTTTGAATATTCTTAGATTACTTTTTAGAACAGTAAATAAATTATTAGGGGTAATTTTGGTATGAAAGGTTAAAAAAGCACTTTTTTTATTATTATTTTTATTTAAATTAAGTGTTATTTAGTGAGATGATTGAGAAGTAATTTATACTAATAAGCACGAAAACATGAAAAATAAATTCTTTTTGAACGTCCAAATAACACTCGTTCGGAAAGCAAAAAAAACCCAAATGGTACCCATATGAAAAATAACCCGAAAATGGTCCACGAGCAAAACCATTTCGAGGTATTTTT